GCACAGACTTACAGACTCTAAAAAAGGTAAATCACTGTGTCAGCATGGACTGGTTTTTATAGAGCTTTTGCTGCTCTGCTGCACTTTGTACCATGGCATGATTGTCAGGTAACAGTCCCAACAGAGGCATGAGGCAGCAAAAGGAGCCCTTTTTTACTCCTGAAGTGGCTTCTCTTCCCACATCTTATTTGAAATAAAATAAAGTTTCTACTAGTATTAGGAATTGCACCAGGAGAGCTGAGAGAGGCTCTTCTCCTTCATCACACAAAGACAGCACCTGCCAGTGCCAAGCAAGAATGGGCCACTGTGTACTGGTATCTGCTCTAACACGCTCCAAAATGCCTTGCACAAACCTTGCAGATGAGGCAAACTATTTATAAGCAGGAAAACTAATTACAAGCAGGAAGGACAAGGAGGTGCATGGGGAGTTAAAAAAAAAAAAAAGAAAGGAATTTGCCTGAGGCAAGGGAACCACAGAAACGTGGACAGAAGTTCAAATCCCTGATTGCCAGCCCAGTGTTCACTCTCCCCGCTGTGATCTCTCTCTGTGTCCTCGTCCATCAGTGCACCTGTGGGGTTTCAGGTGGGAGGCACTTCAGGGAGGGTACAGTGCCAAGATACAGGAAGGCAGCAATGGAGAGAGTGAGCTGAGGAAAGCTGGGAAGGGGGAGCCTGTACCTAGAGGTGTGCTGCTCCTCTTGCAATCCATCAAGCTGGGGTGCATTGTCCCCTCTCCTCTTCCTTCCCCTCCCAACCCGAAGAAAGTCCTTGCAGTCCAAGTGACCACCCAGCAAACAGAGCATGGTTAAGCTGCAAAGAATGAGCTTATTCTCCTAGGGAACTGGAAAAAAATAAAGTCACATATTAGGGATAGGCAATGTTCTGCCTTGTGACACCCATGCTCAGTCTTGCCCGCTGCATGAAGCTGAGTTCCATGCTTGGAGGCTTTCATGAAACTGAAAAGGGAAACTGAGCTCCCTCTTTCTCCTATTGTACACATCACACGGATGCAAAGTGAAAAAAAGCACAGTGGCAAGGGGTGATAGGTGGGGAATCCTTCCTCCCTGAGGCAGATCAGGCTCACCAGCACCTGCCTGATACTGGAAACAGACACCATCTGCTCCTCTGTTGCCATTTACTTAAGGGCTGAGGGGACTTTACAAAATCCAATGCAATGTGTTAAATAACCAATTTTAGCAGGCACTGGGTTTCCCCTGAGGAGTAATGGTGTGGCACTGCAGGTTTACTAGAAGCACTCCAATCCTTGCTGGCAGCTGGCATCTGCTGTCTGATTAAGATTTGCAGAAGCAGGTCTCCAGTGGCCAGCTTCAACAGGAATTTAACTTCACCGAGGTCAAAAGTATAACTTGAGGGAGGAACTTTCTTGTCCAAGATCTTTAGTTAATAGCATCCTGCTAATTATGACTGAGTGCTGGGCTCCTGGTGAGTCCCCTGCCAGCTCTCAGACAATTAACCGCTGGCTCGGGGCCGTTTGCTGGGGAATGTCTAGCAGAGATGTGCTTTGTGCCTGAGCTGCTCTGCTGCTGCCTGAATTGCCTGAAAGGCTTTTGCGTTAGAAAGGCTGTGAGAACTGCTACTTCGGGAGAGATCTTCATCTTTCTGTGGTTTAGTCTTTTGTCTGGCGACAATCGCGGCTGCATTAAACACAGCCAGCACTCCGCCCACAACCCATTTTTATATTTTTCAAATGGGTAGGCAGCGGGTGGAAAGAGCTTCATTTATCTGTTTGGTGGGTGGTGGCTTGTTTTCCCTTTGTTTTTTTCTCCTTCTGGTTGGTGGAGCAGATTCACTGCTGGGCTGGAATTGTTCCTTTGCAGAATTCTCTTTACACACTGCAGATGTGGATCTCAGCTCATGAAGCTGCATTTACCTACTACTTCTGGATGTGTCTTCTTGATCTGAGTTAAATCCTGCCCTCAGTGCAAAATTTTGTCCTTCAAAGTAATTCCCCCAGTGGAAACGGTGTAAACTTCCAGATTTACATTCCTAAAAGCAGGATTAATCCTCTTGAATTTAAGCTGCTGCCTTCCTGGGTTTTTAATTGTCAGCTAAATGTGGGGCTGTTCCTCTGTGGTTAGAGAAGGTGAGAATAAAGTACAGAATCCAAGCCTGCAAGTTAATGCAATAAATCTGCCCATTATATGTACAAACAGCTGATTTCTGCACAGAATTAAAACGGACCAGCGGGATCGCCTCAGTTTAGGGAGACAGAAATTCAGCCAGGAGGGCGGGGCATGGGAAAAAAACCCAAGCTCCTCCCTCTGAGCAATTACAACTTCGAAATCGAGTCGAAAGGTGTGGAAAAGAAAAATATCAGCTCTTTACTAAAGAACAGATATATACCTCTAGGTAACACAACAAAACCCCTCAATCCACAATCCCGAAACCAAACGCCCAGCGAGCACAACCCAGTCCTTCCGGCGGTTATAACAATCCCAGCAGGGGGCGCTGCCGCCTCGGGAGGCGGGGCTGCGGTGCCCTCTCTCGGCCAGCAGGGGGCGCCGCTGGGCTCCGGAGGGGCGGGGCTGCGGCTGCCCCCGATGTCCGGCAGGGGGCAGTGTCGGGCTCTGGGGGCCGCGTGGCCCAAAGGCGGGGGAAGGGGCCAAGGGGGTCCAAGGCACGGCGAGGGAGGGAACGGAAGGGATGGCTTCTCATGTGGACTCACAGTGGCAAAGGGTGGCTCTGGCTGTGGATTCCCTTCCTCGTGAAAGAGTGCCGCTGCTGCCGTCACGGGAGAAAGAGGAGGGGAAGGGCGGCCCTTCCCCCCAAAGGCTCCTCCGCACTGGCTTTTTCGATGAATTTGAGGCAAAATCCGGGCAGTGGGGCAGAACAGAGTGTGAGGACTCAGATGCGAAACGTGACCTCTGTTGGGGGGCTAGGAGAAACCAGCCACCCGGGCGAGAAGATGAACTCTGAGCCCTCCTCACCACACGCACACCCCCCCCGAGTTCTCGGAGGGGAAAAGTCGAGCTGAACCCCTTCAGCCCCACCCCGAGCGCCTCTCAAAAAAGCCAAAAAAGGCAAAACAACTCCCAAAAAACCAAGCACCTCCTTGACAGAAGCTGCCATCCCCTCCCTTCCCTCTCTCTCTCCGGTCTCCCCAGAGTCATTAGCCTGGAATGTACAGCTATTCAACTAGCCCTTTTGTGTGTGTGGCTCATTCTGGCCATCTCCTCCCCCCCCTCCCCCGCTCAACACCTTTCTTTCACAGTGATAAAAGGGAAAAAATTCAAAGCACAGTGTTTTTTCTTTAAAACAAGATAATGTATGACAGGGATGTAAGCTGCACACAGCCATTGGATGGTAAGTGTTTTACATAGTGCATCAGAGAAAGCTAGAGAATACGTTGCTCAGATGCGCAAAATTACCAAAGACCTGAAACTGCAAGTAATATCACATCGACAGACAAGCTTGGTGGGGAGGGTTGGAAAGAAGGAAGGAACAGAAGGAAGAGAATGAGACAAAAGAAATGGAAATCAGATCCCATGTCAGTAACTGGCTGTATTTTAACTGGAAGGTGCTGTGGTTACAGAGAACTCAAAGGATGCGTAGGTGACCGATAGAGAAGAGAAGCTGTGCTGAAACATTATAGTTACTGCAGGACTGGACCAGGATAATTTTTCTCCTTGTTTCTAGCTGAAACTCCAAGCATAACAACAGGAAACCCACACCAGTGAAGGTAAAAAGGAGAGGAATTTGAGGAGGAGAGATGTATGGAGGTGGATTACAGCTAAAACAAAGTTGCCCATAGAGCTATTAGTGCAAGAGGAGGCACTAGGAGAGGGAAGGAGCTGTTGTTTGCCGATCTTGAAAAAATGTCAGAAACAAAAACACACGTTTTTGAAGTGCAAAGCAGGAGCTGATCTCACAAAGGCATCTGTTTGCTGACAAGGCTTGTAACCACAAGCGTAGTATTGTCCTTTCCAGAGGCAAGAGAAGAGAGACAAAGACACCATGGCGTGAAGGAGTAGGCTGCGTTTATTTTTTCACCGATAATTCCACCAACAGGACAAGATGGCATGGTCACAGAACCAGGGCTGGATGTTCACCTGCTTTCCTGGAGAGCTGTGCTGGGGACTGTGTGCAGCAGGAGAAAGAGGAGGAGTAGACATTCTGTTCTGTTGGTATTTATAATTGAGATGTAATCAGGTATCCAGCAAACGCTGACCCACATACCAGAATTACATTGCAGAGACCAAAAGGCGTGGCAAAATGCAATCCAGAAGCCCAAATAACTTTCCCTATGTTATAAAAAATAGCTGCCTTTGTACACAGATAAATATGTCTTCAAAAAACACAACAACAACAAAAAAAAAAAAAAAAAGAAAGAAAAAACCCAAACAACAACACAAACACCAAAACAGAAGAAAGAGAGAGAAGCAGGTGGCACTCTGAATTTCACATAAATCCGAGCAGCTGTTTGGAAGAATAAATCTGTGAAGGCAAAAGTTTTGCCTTGGGCAGCCAACACATTGCATTACAGAGGAGCACTGGAAGACAATGTTTAAAATCTGTACCACTGATGTGGCAGTGTTCTTGCCACAAAGGTACATCCAGCATGTTTCAGGTGGGTGCAAAGCACCAAGCAGATTTGTTCCCGCAGCCCAAACCAAAAGCGATACATGGAGTAGGAGAATGATACTTAAAAAAAAAAAAAAATAAAGAGAGAGAGAGGGAGAGATACAATCCCCATTTGGATCAAGCAGTGGGTCTTAATGTAAGTCTAAAAAACATAAGAAAAACTCTCAGCAACCTGAAATATGAGGGTTTATTTTTTAAATGAGCCTCTCCTGAAGCAAGGACATTTTGCTGAGACAATTTGCTCATCCCCTAAAGGCATGACAGTAATTTCAGACTTCTACCAAAATAGAAATGTGTCAGCAGTATAAAGGCCATGGCTGAGAGGAGCCTGTGAGGCTGGGATGGTGTGAGCCATATACAGAGTACAAGGGTGTGCCTGTGCTGGCGGCATCTCTGACTGGAGATCTCTGACCACAGCTGCGACATGATTTATAGTGCTGCAAATGTGTTTCCCTGGCAGTGGATAATCAGTGCTGGACTGGAACTTGAAGGAGCTGGGCAGGAACTCCCTTGCCTTGGCTCCCTCACAGGGCATCCCAATTAACCTGAGTCACATTTGTGTTTTTCTCTGTTCACTGGGACTATTGCTCTGTATATTGGTGAACCCCAAGTGTCTTGCATGATGTGAGGCTGCTTCAAATGGAAACTGGATCCCAGCTGGGCTGTCATTCTGAAATTACCTCTTCCCAGGGGTGAAGGGTGCTATTCCCTCTGCTCCCCACTCCCCCATGGGACTGCTATAAGGAGTTTGCCAATGAGTATAAAAAGCTGGTGTTTTCACATGCATAAGAGGGTAAGTGGAAACATTTGTCCTTTAGTCTCTTGGCTGTGAATAGTTTTTCCCTGCTTCAACTGTCTGTGTGCCATTGGCACAAAGAGCTACTTCAGAAATGGAGGAGTGAGTGTCTCCTCCAGGGCTGTGGGAGAGAAGGGAAGACACTTTTCACTGGTGGTGGGAGAAGAGTTAGGGCAACCCAAAGATCTTTTGAGCATCTTTCTGGTAAATGGCATTTAAAATCCCTGTGCATCTCTTGCTCAGTACTGCTCTGTTGCCAGGTCTACTCTGGTGACTGGGTTCCCTTTGCTTGGCTCTGTTGGGCAGGGTGGGCAGGTAACATCTAGGCAGACGTTTTGGGTGGAATGCCAGTGTGTTTTCTAGGAATCACACTTTTCCTCATGCACTCATGGCACTTGTGGCTTAGTCTTGGCATCTCGGGGCTAACGCAGAATCCTGAATGAATCAGACCTGAAGAGTCTCTGCCACCAGCCATGAGCAGCCAGTGTGGGCTGGGCAGAGAACCAGGCTGTTGTTTCCCTGGAGAAGGCTCTTGAAATAACCACAGTCACACATGCCTGCAGTGTTGGCTATCTGCTCATTGAAGGCCCACAATGAAGGTCCACCTGGCTTAGTTTCAGTCACCAAGCCTGGGCCGGCTGGGAGCAGACCCCAGGAAGTTGTGAAAAGAGGCTGGGAAGGCATGGATGTGTTCTGCACTGGGTCTACCTGCCTTTCCTCATCAAAAGCATCAGTGTGGCTCTCATGGAGCCTGATGGGATCACAAATGGATTGGTTGTTGGGAATTCTGTTGCAGGAAAACTCTCAAGAGCCTGAAGAAGTTGGGCTTGTAGAAGCACCAAATGGTTGTATGAGGAAATTAAACTCCTTTAACTCCTTTAGGAAGTTTTTACTGGCATCTAGTTGCAGCTGCAACGCTTATAATCATGGCTGTAAATGGGGACATGATTTCAGTGATTAGAGCAAATCTGTGCAGGACATGTGGGACAAGGGCATCAACCACAGAGGGCAAAAATTAGAAGCCTAGAACCACCACTGCGGGGTTGCCACTGGCCCAGAGGCTACAGAGCCCCCAGAGTAGCAGCCTAGTAGCCAGGGTTATCTAGAATTCACTCACCATCTCCTTTGCTTTGCAGCACCTTAAGCATGACAAGGAAGATCTTCACCAACACCAGGGAGAGGTGGAGGCAGCAGAATGTCAACAGCGCCTTTGCCAAACTGCGGAAACTCATTCCCACCCACCCACCAGACAAAAAACTGAGCAAGAATGAGACCCTCCGTTTAGCCATGAGATACATCAACTTCCTTGTCAAGGTCCTGGGGGAGCCAGGCCTGCAGCAGACAGCAGTGGCAGCTCGGAGCAGCATCCTGGAGTTCTTCCAGCAAGCCCCACACTTGCAAAGCATGGAGGAGCTGACACTAATTGAAAACTGTGGTGTCTCCTGTCCTGGCATGAGCAGCAATATAGTAGAGTGTTGGTCAGAGACATCATCTCCCTAGCAAGCAATGAGATGTGCAGTCTTGGTGCTAGTCTTGATAGTCCCTCTCCTTTTGCTCCTCTATGTATTGTGAATATTTATTCATATTTATTACTATTTTATTTGGTATGCATTTTTATTTAATAGGAAGGAAATCCTTGGTAATCCAAAAACCTGGAGGTCCAGAGGGAGAACTTGCAGTCCCTGGGAAATTGGAAGGACTCACTGCTGTCTCACTGAGTCCTCTCCAAGACAGAGGAGCCTTCTACCCAGATCTCCTCCATAAATCAGGCTGTAGAAACTCATTCAGTGTTTCTGACACGGAAAGAGATTATTCTCCCGTGCTAATTCAAGGAAACACTACTGAGATGAAGAATGATGACTGCACCACAAAATTTGTCCAAGACAGACATCTGGCCTTGGTAGTGAAAGATTTTGAGAGATGTGATATTTGACACAGTCCTCCACCAGTTGTTCCAGGGGCTAATTGCAGTCACTCTTGAGCTTGTGAATCTTATTTCCAGCTTGATTCTTTTTTTTGAGAATGCAAGTCCTAGTCCTTGAACCTAGCTACATCTTTCTCCGTCAGACTGGAGGGATCCCTAGTGTCAGGACAAAATGTATTAAATAAAATTAAATGTTAGGTTAAAGCAAAGTGCCAATTTAAACTTAAAGAAGACAGTCGTAGATGAGTTTCAGTGGGTTCAATAGGCAGAGTATACCTCCTTTGTAGCAGTGCCAGTGTGCATGTGAAGGATGATAGTCAGCTATGCTCCAGATGCCTTAAAAGCCCATCAAAAAGAGGTTGGTGGATAAATGTCTTTCCATACCCAGCTGACTGCCTTTAAACTCCTTGATTTCACCTGCTGTAGCTGAGGTAGCTATAGCTACAGCTGTAGCTGTAGCTGGATACTATCCCAAATGGGCTGATGGAGCAAGGACAAAGAAATTGGTGTAAATGGTTTTCATTTCATTCAGCAAGTAATTTCCCTATAGGGAGAAACCCCAGCCATCATGCTCGTTTGTGTTTGGGTGATAAGCAGGTTGAAAGAGGTTTCATGAAAGTGGTTTCATGTTGTTGCCTAAAAAAAAATTTAATTTCCTGATCAAGTTATAACCTGTGCCATAAAAGGCCTGGGCTGCTCGTGTGAGGTACAGAGCAGCCCAGAGCAGCAGAAAGAAATGACACAGGCTTGAAGTAGATCCCGCTGGTCAGATCCCGCTGACAAGTCCTTTGGATTTCCATGTGGACCAAGGTACATGTCAAGGCTTAGAAAAGACAATTGTTCAGGACTGGTGAAGAAATGGAGCTTCCTTAGGCCAAGGCACGTCCCTGGGCTGTTTCTGTTTGTTCATGAGACAATGAGGTGCCTTCAGAAAGCAGAGATAGGGTTTGTGCACGTAATATGTGCAGCCCTTCTGCATGAGGGGATTTGGCACCTGAAGCTGAGCTGCCTTTCAAAGCCTCACCAAGCATCAGATGCGCCAAAGAAGCCAGGGCTGGCTCCTGCTACGGGTATATTGGGCTGTCCTGAGAATTGACAAAGACCAAGGACACAGCCCACCCCGTCCAGGACTGGTGTTGGAAGGCACAGGCATGCCAGTGGACAGAGTTTGACCAAAAAGAAAAGGAAAAAAAAAAACTGAAAGGATTTCTGTTGATTTGATTTTGGTTTTGAACACTGCTAATAGTCGGTTTGCTTATCCCTGTGTTTGTGAGCTGTCAGGACTGCACTGAGGGCAGCTGAGTGAAAAGGCACTGAGAGTACATCCTTCGTGTGGCTTGTTTCTCGCCACCTCTGCCCACTTTAATGGGATTAAATGGAGCCACAGCCTCCTGTGCACAGCAGCACCTCAGAGGTAATGAGCCAAGTCCTCCTCCCAGCTTTCTGCTGGCTCACTGGAGTTACAATAGAAGAGATTAGTCCAAGTAAATCAGGGCACTTATTGGCGAGGTGTGGTGGTACTGTTTGGTCTATCAGTCATTTGCTGTCTCAAGAAACACACAGTCACCAAGGCAAGGCAAAACATCTTGTGAGAAGCTGTCATCCAAAGGAAGGGAAAGAAAAACTGGCAGTTTTGTAATGTAACACGCTTGTTGTATTTTCTGTGCTAAAAAAAAATTCCCTTCTTGTTATTGCTTTGGTTCATATCAGTGCTTTCTTTGATCTCCTTTCAATTTAGAAGCTCCCTGCTCTCACACTCAGCAAGTATCTCACTAATCTATCTACCAAAGACTTTTTTTTTGGTTGTTTCTTCTTTGTGTTTTGGGGATTTATCTGTATGATCATGAACACATACAGTGTAACTGATACCATTCTGTGCTATATGATGTTATTTAACTTCTAATATATTCCAAATAAATTATTTAATTAACTATTCTTTGTCTTTTCTAAATTTCTCTAAACTTTTGTTTTACATTTCCATGCCACTCGCTAGAAGACCCCAAAAGCATTAAAGTGTGATTTCCAGTAGAGGATGTTTGTACTGTCTCTTATGCAAGAGTCTTGGTGGTAGAAATGACATTATCAGACAATGAAGAATGACAAGAATTCTTTGTTTATTACTATTTCCTACCCTTTTTGGTTGAATTACATTTCAATCTACATGCTAAGAAGATTTTGAAAAAGACAGATAACTAAAATTTCATTGTGCAACACTGTTATTTATGTCCTCCAAATATTCACAATTCAAAAGATTATAATCAAGTCCATTTTAAAAAGCATAAGTCACTCTAAAGAATTCATTTGTACTCTGAGTCTATTGTTATCTGACTTGTTCAGACAGGCACAACCTACAGATTCAAACAGGAGTCCAGGTTCAGATATAAAAATTAATTCAAATTTGATGGCAGTTTAGGACGTAAAGCTGTTCTTTCTGGATAACATCTGGTGGGAACAACCTAATTCCCAGCTGAATATGAGGCTGGGAGAGGAAGAGGAACACTAAGATGGCAGATGCAGAAGTTGTAAAGAAGAGACGGGAAATCTCTTGGACAGAGGGCCAGTTTTATGACTGATTGAATGTCTCACATCCCTGACAATCTTCTGTGATACACCAAGAGAGGGATTTCTGTACAAAATGTGCCTCAGAAAGGTATCTTCTCAAGGGATTATGTATAAAAGTCATGAAATCGGCAAATGTGAAGTTCAAAATGTATTTATATGTGATGTGCAGTATGTATTTATACTAAGCAAGACAATGCCACTTTAGAGAGGACCCTCTGCTTTTACAGTAGGTAATGCCAAATAAGTTTGTATGCTGGCGATCATGTGGCAATACCTCCTCTGGAAGTGGGCATGGCATAGCTGTGTTAACACAGTGCTGTCAAATAATGGAACTGTGCTGTGGAGATGTACCAAGTCATTTGGAGATGATTGAAAAATGTCTCATATGTGTTTCTGCAGTGGCAAAACCTTAGTATTAATGACAAAAATGTCCCTAGTGTTAAGGATCCCACTGTCCCCTAGTTGTGACTAACAGTGCTAAATAGAGCTCTGTGAATAGCACTGTTTTACCCTTTGTAATTTTTTTTTTTTTGGTGGAATATGGCTGTCAATATTTCAAGGAAGACCAGGTAAAGTGGTATTTTCTAGAAGTATCTTTGGTATCTCCTGGTAACAAAAGGAGTGATGCAAAGTTAAAAGAGTCATGGCCCCCTCCAACCCATGGTACTCCTGCAGAGCTGTATGTGACATGTCCTCCCATGAGTTTGTGATGCAGAAATCTCAATGAGACATTCCTGCACTTGGAATTTCTAACAGGATCAGTGACAGAATACAGCTTCACATTTCAGTTAAAATTAGGAGGATTACTTCCTCCAGAGACTGGGCACTAAGAGACAAGTTCTGCCACTCTTCAGCTACCCCAGAGCCCAAGAGAACTGATGGCAGGAGAGGTGCAATGTCATTGTGCACTGCCCCTAAAAGTAACCCATGCATCACCAGGAACAAGAGTGCAGGGTGTTGTCCATAACATCCACTTCCTCAGTATTCCATTTGTGGCTATGGAATGTAACTGAATTTGGATATTTGGGCTGAGTAAGGAAAGGAATAGGTTGCAACTGTATCTTGCAAGGATGCTGTAGTCTTGTGCATGAATCCTAGTGATGGCCAGCCCGTGGTTAGAGGAAGAGCAGGTCTGCAGACAGGGCTTTGGCCTGAGATTCAGTGGATTCAGATCCCTTCTGATGTGAATACACTGTGCCTAGCACTGGACAAGGCACAGTATGATTCTAGATCGGCATGGTGCCTTATTTCTGGAGTATTGCCCATGCTGAGGAAGAATTTGTGGTGAGGCATGTGCTCAGCAGCATTGTTTGTTGTACCTAGTCTAAATCAGGGAGGAGGAGGGTATAATGAGCATCACAGAGGGAGACTCACAGGATATGCCAAATTAAATGGCAAAACAGGTTGTTTTAGGACACTAAGATCCATCCTAGTGTCTTGATCCAAGCATGAGGTGAAAGGACTCATGTTTAGAGGCGTATGATTCGTGAATTATTTAGTAATTTATCTCCCAGTATTTAACCAATTCCCACACATTTCTTTCCTGCTGGGGAATGATATGCAGTGACCATGGCTAAAGTAGTATGAGCAAGGCAGATCTGACTTTTGTTCTTTGAAGGCTGCACGATGAAAGGAGATGGAGAGAATGAGCGACTTAACTACTGACCTGTGGAGCAGAGGTCACTTGGGAGCCAGTTTTAAATCTAAAGGTCATCAACAGAGTGACAGGGTCTAAATCCATCACTTTTCAAGGGTGTAATTGTATTTTTAATACAGCAGGTGCTGAGAGAGTCAGAGCGAGAAGGTGGGAGGAAGCAGCTCAGAAAAGTGCTTGGGTCACAGAAGGTAGAGATTGATTGCCCTGTGCCTGGTCGATGGTGGTTGACTATATTCACTATTGTTCTGTCTGTGAGCCATGGGTAGCATTTTCATTGCACTCTGAGTTGGTCCAGCTCTCCTCTGTAAGGAACAGAGTCTCATCCCATTGTATTTTCACTCAAACCCCTTTCCATGT